ACTTATTAAAAAAATATGAATTAAAATAGTCAATCTCTGTACTATAGCTAACTTAATAGTCATCCAACCTTGGTACTTTTAATCAACTTTGAAATCAATTCCAGTTTTATACACCAGAAGGAGCTAGTACTAGTTGGAACATTCTTAATATCACGATCAATTAAATCACCGTTATCAGTAAACTTCCGTTTCTAATAAATGCAGTTTAAGTTTAAAAGCAACCACCTAAGATATATGATGATTAGACACATCGCGAGCGTTTAATGAAGACATTGATAAAGTATTTTGTTATTGTTAATTAAGGGCTACACATTTGTCAAAATGACGAATTGCTTTATTCTATTATTTCTATTGCTATCACAAATAATATAAAAGTATTAACTTTAATAAAACTTTAAAATTAATTGTGGTCTTTGAGAGTGCTCAGAATGTCTCTCTCTCCGTCTCTTTCCCCCTATCTCCCTGGGGTCGATCCCTCATGTCTGAGGATTGTGGTCAGCGTTAAACCGCCAAACATGTTGGCCGAGCGTAACCCAACGCGGGCGTACGTAGACATGGGACGTTGTGCAAGTTTGAAGACCAATGCAAGTGGTCAATATAGGCGAGCTTTATGGAGCTGCCCATATGTTGGTGCGCTATCAATTATTATGGATATAGATAGATAGATAAGACTTTATTCACACCAAAATGCACCCATACAAAATTGACAAGACAAATTTTACAATTAGATAAATCCTTTAAAACAGGCAACAAATTCTATTTATACATCTATACTATAGTATTTTCGTGTGCAGCAACGATGCGAACGGGCGAAAACTCAGCGAAACATTTACTAGAGAGTAAATCGCTGATTTTCAGTTCTGACCCATATTGATGATATATGTTGGCGAACGACAGCGAATGGCGAAAAACAATGCGAAATCAGGTTTTAACACGTTGGCGCTTCCCTTTACTCTGCAAATTAGGCAAGCGACACCGAACGATGACATAACAAATATGCTGATTATTGGCCAAGCGAAGCAAAACACCTTCGTATACAAAAACATGTATAGGCAGGTGGCTTTAGTTGCATCTGGAGCGGATGATCTGCTTCCACTAGTTTCTGTCCAGCGCGTCTCTAACAGCCATGAAGACTTTCGATGAGGACGAGACTTTTATTAGATTGGTCTATCTATGCCTAAGGTGTTCCCAACCACAATAAGGTTTTCCTAATTTCAACACCGTGTGACCGAAGTATGAAGTAATACGCTGACGGTATATGGTGTAAAGTAAAACTTACTTCGAAGCAGAGTAATAATAATAAATATTTCCAACACTCACACCAATTAGCCTAGCCCCAAAGTAAGCACTGTAAAGCTTGTGTTATAGGATGCTAGGGTAACGGATAGAATACATATAATGTACATATATAAGTATACTAGCCGTGCCCCGCGGTTTCACCCGCGTTTTTCTCGTTTCCGTGGAAATACCGAGATAAAATATTGCCTATATTATAGCCTTCCTCAATAAATGGACTATTGGATATTTAAACAGTTTTCATATCAGATCAGTATTTCCCGAGATTACTGCGTGCATAACCAAACTTTTCAGCTTTGTAATATTAAGAAAAATGTATTTATTATACTCTTCAAAGATCTTATACTTACAATCATGAACAAATATATTTCGGAAAAGATTATTACAGGATTTTATGTTGATAAAAAACTCTATGACCCATAACTCATTAATAGATACCAACTCTTAACATCTTACACACGTGATAACTTTTAAACGAAATATCCGATTGAGATGAAACAAAAAGTATTTTACTTCTACATAAATACTCTTGATAACATTATGTTTAATTTCGATAAAGATTAATATTACGATACATATTTAACGTAGTTTTTTTTCTTCAGACGATTTAATAATTATTTTGAACACAAAATCGGTTATTGTGATTAATGTATGACTAGATATATATTTTTGCGGACTTTTTTGTAGGTCTTAATGGGATCTACAAACCCGTACTACATCATTTTGTTCTATTGTCAATAGTTTTTGCAGCGCACGCAAAAATAGGTTTTCGATTTTACACCTTGTGTTACAAAATAGCAATTTTATTACGGATCCCTAATATCGAAAAAAAATAGCCTATAGCCTTCCTCGATAAATGGACTACCCAAAACTGATAGAATCATTCAAATCGGACCAGTAGTTCCAGAGATTAGCGCGTTCAAACAAACAAACAAACTCTGCAGCTTTATAATATTAGTATAGATTTATATAGAAATACATATGAAACATCCATAACTGGAGTACAAATGCTCGTATTCATCACACAAACATCTGTACCCACCGGGTTTCGAACCCGGGACCTCTCGAGTCGGCGACCCCATACAAACCCGTACAAACCACTCGGCCACGGAGGTCATCAGAATCTACAGGATCAGGATCGATATTTTCCTATTTGCAGGGTTAACAGAACATCATAGATGCTGCAATAACTCCACAAATTGTCTTATATGGCTATCACTATTTTCAATTATTGCTCGAATAATACGACGACCTCTGTGGTCGAGTGGTTTATACGCCGGGGTTTAATGGTGTCGCCGACTCGAGAGGTCCCGGGTTCTAATCCCGGTGGGGGTAGATGTTTGTGTGATGAATACAAGCATTTGTACTCCAGTCATGGATGTTTAATATGTATTTCTCTGTAAATATACTTATACTAGCGGACCCGACAGACGTTGTCCTGTCTACACGTCTTTAATTTGAAAATTTCAAACTTTTTTTAATAAGCTAAAACATTCTGGTAGCGCCGTCTGTCGGATCCAATGTAAAACATTCCAAAATCAACAACTACTAATAAATTTTTTTTTTTTTAAAAATCATTGTCCAGCGGACAAAATTTTGAATCTAAACCATTCTCAGATCCCCTTGAACACACACAAAAAATTTCATCAAAATCGGTCCAGTCGTTTAAGAGAAGTTCAGTGACATACACACTCACAGAAGAATTATATACACACATCAAAAGTGTCTAGGGATCAACATATATTTTTGCAATAACTTTTCTCCTGATTGATATTAATTAAAATTTTCTTTAAGGATTCATCAAATAAAGTGTTTTCGTTTGTCACAGTAACGATAAACCAAGTCACCTTTGCATTAATAAAGAAATTTGCCATTTTCCTAATAAAGGGATTTTTGACATTTGAACCACTAACACAAAAGTTCGAAAAAAAGACTGAAATAACAGTTTTCTCTAAAATTTTATTGGGTAACTTAAACAATTAATAATCCGTATTTCTACTGCGAACACTAACAACACAAGAACATCGGTTTGGCATACTCAAAATGAGTTCATCCAAATCACGCTGTGGAATGGCCGCCCATGTTCGTTGCAACAACAAAAAAAGGTCTTCTTGCGACTGGATACCCTCCATATTCGGCAGAGCTCTTCTCTGTAGCATATCCCATGCATGCTCAATCGGGTTCAAGTCTGGCGACTGAGCAGGCCAGGGCAGGACATTGATGTTAGCTGCGGCGAGAGTCTGTCTTACAACTCTTGCGGTGTGCGGTCGTGCATTATCATGCATTAACTGAAATAAGGGACCGATTTGCACTTGTAGAGGAACGATGACGTCTGATACAATCGTCTCAGCATAAATTTGAGCGTTGAGGTTGCCTCTGATCCAAATCAACTCAGTTCTTCCGCCGATCCAAATACCCGCCCATACCATGATGGTTCCACCACTATAAGGATGGACTTCCTGGCAGGATTTTAATCGCTGTTGGCGTCCAGGGGTTCTCCAGTGTCGTATACGTCTTGTATCCGGTCTCATACCAAAACGAGACTCATCAGAAAAGCACACGAAACGCCATTGTTCTTCTGCCCAATTTCTGTGTTCAAGAGCCCATTGATATCGAATCCTACGATTGTGCATTGCTATAGGTGGTACCCGTAGCGGTCTTCGGGAATGAAGGTTCACTTCATGCAAGCGGTTTCTGACTGTTTGGTCGCTAATTAAGTTCCCTGAAGAGTGATGAAGCCTCACGGCTAACATCATGGCGGTTATTGTTGGAGCTCTTCGAGTTAAGATTTGAATGTATCGGTCTTGTCTCCGTGTGGTGCAGCGATACCGTCCTCCATGGCGCTCAGCCACGGTACCAGTGCTTCGGTATCGTGTCCAAAGTCGACTGATAACACTCTGACTTGTATTCAGAGCTAAAGCCACAGTACGTTGCCGGGAACCAGCTTCTATCATTCCCACGGCTCTGAGCATTTCTTCCCTGCTTAAATGACGTCGCCGCTCCATAATAACGTTGGTTTTAATCAGTAGTAGGGAAACAGTAGCACTAATAATGTCTTCAATGCGTTGTATGTTTTTATAGGGAAAATATTGACAGCTGATTTTCATCTTTTACTCGAATTTGATTCACAGTTCCTGATTCAAATTATGAAATGCACCAAAAAGGATCCATATAAATTTATAAAATCATAAATTTATTACAAAGCCACATCTCAATCTCAAGAAATCCGCATAAAAATGCTTGATCCCTAGACACTTTTGATGTGTGTATATAAAGATATGTACAATATATGTATTCTATCCGTTACCCTAGTATCCCATATCACAAGCCTTACAGTGCTTACTTTGGGGCTAGGCTAATTGGTGTGAGTGTTGAAAATATTTATTATTATTATTATTGCTGGATTTAATCCCCAACACATATAATAGCTTATATATTGGTTAACTCTAAGATGTTGTCCGAAAACAAGAGTAACATCACTTGCGAAGATGACCCCCTGACTACGAAGTTTTTCGAAGTCGCTCCTACCAGGTTGGTTTTTAGCTTGCACATAATATGAGATCATGGTGCATTTTACATTTATTTTTGTTCCCGGTCCAACGAGAGAGAACAGTATACCATTGAAGATACTTCTGTTGTTAGTACAAGTTAATATCCGAAATAGGTACTACATTACATAAACTTAAAGTATAGATTTTGACGTTTCAAAGACAGTAGCCCCAAAGACAGTAGCCCCGTGCCACTACCAATACAATCAGGTTTGTTGGATTAAACTCTAAAGAAGGTAAAAAAATTGTTATTGCTCGTAATTTGAGTGTTGAACCTGTAAAATAAAAATACATGATACAAACATAAAATGATCTTGAAATAAGTATAAGTTTAAATATTTGCTGGTATCAAATTTTTGAATCTGTGTTGAGCTTCATATAAATAATCCAAAATACATTTTTATCTGAAAGAAATCTTTGGTAAGGTTTAGTCAGAAACAAAGACATTAAAGTATAGTTAGAAGTAAGCTTTTAATGAAAATACTTTTTTCATAAGAAAGAAAAGGTCGTTGATGTCTATTACATATATTTAAGAAGTAGTGAACTTATGATATGCCGCCTTGTAAAAATCGATAAAATACAGTTTTATGGGACTAGTGTTAGTCCGTGCATTATGGATTTTGCCCTTTGCACTATTCATAAGTGCAGAGTTTATGCGAAAAAAAACAGATATTGGTCTTAAGATGATACTCATCTTAAGACCAATATCTGTTTTTTTATTAAAAAATTGTTAATATGAATTACATAAATAAGTGTTGACTACACCATACTATCAAACAAATATCATAATAACAAAACAGCCGTGCTTTATAAAAAACTAGGTAGATTTAAATAACGATTATTGTTCTTATAATCGTTTGTTCGATCAAAAACTATTTCATTTCATGCGTCGATAAGAAAAACAAAACACTCACACACCTTTTATATCGTCTGCGATTACGTCGTGATTCTCCTTGTTAGCTTGAATTTTCTCAATCAGATGCTCCAGCCTGCTGCTGTTCCCCTTGAACAGCATGATCATGTCGTCAGCAGCGGTCACGGTCCGCTCACCCTGACCGGCTCTCGCACTCGACAGATTACAGGTGCATCAGTTCCAGTTTATTTGGGAACTTTTTGCGAGCCGCTTATCGCGCCAATTGGTGCACGCGTGTCGGGCAGCTGCCAGCTAATTGCTGGGCGCGTACGTCCCGCGCTTCACGGCAATTTGGGTGCCTGCTGCTGATCGAGTTAATTGCCCGTGCACCTTTATTTTCCGGGTACAGGTGCAATTTGATCGAACCGTGGAACGGGTTGGGGGCTCAGTTATGCAACGGTGCATCGGTACGCGCGCCTACAGCGGCGTGTGCGGCGCGACTGCGAGGCTTGCTGGCCGGACCGGTGGGCGAGCACCTCGGACTGGCACCCTGCGCCCCGCCCGCGCGCCCCGCCCACTGCCCCCCCCCCCCCCCCACTGCACCTACTCCTTTAGAGCCTTCTAAGGACGCCTGTTACTCGAGCCGTTTATTTATCAACGCCCAAAAACAAAGAACAGTCGCCCACATCTATCTCTTTGTGATACTAGCTCAAACCAATTTAGGATCTGTGAGGATGCCACGTCAAGCGTTCGTTGCTTTGTTGGCTGATATAGGTTTTTGTTTCTTTGTCAACGAGTTTTTTCAACCTTTAATAAACTTGAAATTAAGGTTTTACATATACCCAATAGGTAAAACAAATAAAAATGTGTAGACACACCTATCTCTAAATATCGTTCAGTAGAAATACTTAAATGAAGAGTGTTAATAATTTACAGTCGGTGTACACCCTAATCAGTAAATGTAATAATAAATAATTAAACACCTTATTTGTGAAGAAAATTTAAAAGACAAATACCCCTTTTCTACATTCCTTTCAACTTCGCTGCGACATTCAAAACTCCCTCGGCGCTAACCCGCCATTATCAATCAATCAAACCAACCAATTTGACAGTCGTAAACAAAACAAACGAACGTCGCGAAAAATAATGAAACGAATGACAACGGAATGACGCTAAAAGCTTTTAGAATTTAGTATGTCGGGAAGCGGTTTTTCAAATTTAGAACGTCTGTGGGAAAACTGGCTGAGTTTTCCTCGTTCCACCCACGGCCGTGGGCGCGGCCAATGGGCGCAGGCAGGCCCCCGCGCCCCGCGCTGCTTCCACGTTACACCAACTTTAGCACATTACGCCACACTCGTCTAGTTTTTTTTTGTTTTCTTTTAGACTTCGGTTACTTTTTGTTTGTGGCGTTTTGTTATTGCACCATGGCACGATGGTGAGGTTGTTTTTTTACTATAACATCACAAAGTACAGATTTTTTTACTTAGGCCTGTTTTTTCAATTCTTCGGTAAAACTAATTCCTTTTAAAAAGTTTTATTTACCAATTAAAAAGTAATATCATCCATAATAAGAAAATATTACATGTATAACAAAATATGTAGTAATTATATAGCATTTAAGAAATATGAGATCAGCCAATTTTCTGTCAGAAATTAATTGTAAAATCATCTTAATTTTTTATTTCAATAGCTGAAAAAATTACGTGCCATAAATTACGTTTTTAAAAGTGTTTTAAAAATAAACGATTATGTATCACATCTAAAGTAAGTAGTTAAACGGTGACATTATGAATTTCCAGTCGAATTTCTAGAGGCTAAGTGTCCCGGTCACCAGGCGTCCGACGATCGGTCCTCCGGGGCCAATGGAGGCAAGCGGACCTTACCTTTTAGTTTAGTGAATATATTACGAGATTACAGCGCCGATGCTGCAATAACAAGGATAAACTCCGCAGAATTCGTATGAGACTGCACCCTCGCGATTTACTCTCAAAACATTCACTATGAATATTGCGTGTTTGTGGTGTTATGTGTTATTTTATGTATTATATGTGTGTTTTATTAAAAAAATCTGCAATTTATAGGTACTTTACTAGCTGTGCCCCGCGGCGTTATCCGTGGTTTATTAGGGATATTTTCCCGCAGTAAAGCATAGCCTATGTGTTAATGCAGGGTGTCATCTAACTCCATACTAAATTTTATTGAAATCACTCCAGCCGTTTAGACCTGAAGAAGTAACAAACATACACACTCCCAAACTTTAACCTTTATAATATTATTGTGTTGCCTGGACATAAATCTGTACTTATATTATAAAGAGCTGAAGTTCGTGACGTTGAGAGGTTGTAGGGGGTAATCTCTTGGTCTACTGAACCTACTTTGAAGATTCTTTTACCAATAGAAAGCCACGTTATTTATGAGTATCATTATGTGAGGCTATATAAGTATTACAAAAAACAAAAACTTTAGTCTACCCTACACTACACTGAAGCGAACTGAGTACTAGATAAATATCAATAAATAAAATAAGGCAGTATTCGGAAACTAATATACTTATATAAATATTATTTTATTTAAAGGTGGAGCTGTGCGTATTTTACAAGTTGCTGTATGTAAATATTTTTTAATAGTTGATCATTATCACACATAGATAAATACTCGTATAATCAGTTAACCTGCATGCTACTTTACCCTATTACAAACAGTTTGAAATTCACATATTAAGGCACCAAAATTTCCTGTTCCACCCACACCCACACGGTGGGAATCAATCAACAACAATACAAACCCTTTTCCCAATTACACTAACGACACATCCACCAGCAGGTTGGAGTACTTGAGATAACAAATGAACGCGCATGAAACATTCACGGCCGGGGCCGGATTGACACGGAGTTGCCGCGACGCGACGCGAAAGGGTTAGCATTAATACTTGAGAGGCCCCACCTCCGGCTGACAAGCACGATTAGCCTGTCACTGGGCCGAATCTCCGGCTGCTGAATAAAGTATCATGAAAAAGTGTTCCTTATCTAGGGAACCGGCCTCCACTGATGAGGGTTCAAGTTAGGTCCTTTAAGCTCCAGTGGTTTTGCAAAAAGTTGCATTTAATGTTATTATGATACATACACTGTCTAATATTGCATTATTTTGTTTAGGACGAAGACTGTTCTTATTTTACGTAGATTAAATGAATGTTTTTATTTCTATTTATAGAAGCATTAAACTGCTACATTTTAATGCAAAAAGAAGCTTATTTCTAGTGAAATATCTACGTACTATATATTGAATGATGAGATGCTTGTGCAGATGATTTGACCACTATGATATAAATTTCTTCCGATATATATTAGGCTGTAAGGGCCACCTCGTCACATTGTAGGTAACCACAATTAAGTGGTGTTGATTATTCTAAAAAAAAAAATTAATATATAGAATAATAGTTAATTTTAGGGTTTATGTTGTGACATTTCCTATGTAGCATTTTCCATTGATATTGCATTTTGCGTATAAAATATTTTTTGTACTCTAAAGTAAGAAATATAGATTTTTGGAGTTGAGTGAGATTTTAGGGTTTTTAATGTATTTCTATCTAGATTTTTACCGGTTGAAGTAGCAGTTCACGTTCCAAAACTGCTTTAACTGTAATATCAGGGAATGAATTTACTTTAACAAAATATTTTTTTGATGTTAGTAACCCGAACTACCTGCCTCTTCTCGTTTGCCAGAAATAAAGATTGGCTTATGTATTTCTGTTACTTAAATCGTCTTAACTTACCTGAAAAATTCTCATATGCTTCTATTCAAATAATGAATTGCTTACTAGCAATTATCATAGATCTCGGTTAAACTTTTTTTTAGGAAAATGAGTTTAACTTATGAAAATATTGGTTTTATTTCTTCCAATATGAATGAGATTATTTTTATAAAAAATATTTGAACAATTTCAAAGTATTCTTGTGAATGCCACAATTACCAACCAAATTGCGTTTAAAAAGTACTTATTGCTTTTGTATTCTAATACTTGCCGTTCTCAAAAATTATATCTATATCCCTAATAGCAACAACAGAATAGTAAAAATAGCGCAGTGACAGTAACTCCAACTTGGTGGGAAGTTTTGGGCCTTTGAATATTTAATGTGATGCCCGCCGGCGCCGCGCCGCCGCCGCCGCCTCCTCCGTCTCAGCGAAGACGTTCAACCCTTGAGCCGGGCCTGGGTGACGGGCCATCGGCTCATCAAATTTTCACCGATTCTCACTTCGAGCTCTTGTTGTTAATGTCACTGTTACAATTAGCCGAGATCTGTGCTAATTAGGATTATGATATGGAGTGTTTTCTGTATTGGGACACCTGACTTACTAATGCATGTATGTGAGAGAGAGAGGTATTAACAAAAATAAATATTCAGATTCGAATCGATAACGCGCATAAACTACAATTTAAGTACATACAAAATAATAAACTCATGTGTTTTAACGTACCGCGTAATCCTGCCAACCGCTCCGGTATATTGAACTGCATGACTATTGCAAATAACTCCTTCTTCTGTATTATAATCCTACTAATAATATAATAAAAATGTGAAAGTTTTTGTGTTTATATCTTTGTTACTCAATCACGCAAAACCTACTGAACGGATGTGGATAAAATTTGGTACGCATATAGTATATTACCCGGAATGAGACATAGCATACTTATTATCCTGGAAAAATGTTAGGTTTCTGAGGGATCCTCAAAAACTAAGGTTAACACGCACGAAGTCGCGGGCGGCCGCTAGTGCAAGTATATTGAATAATAATTTTGTTTTGTAATGTGTTAGTATTTTTTAAAAAACTCATCATAGCTGCATCCAAGTTAAGAAAGTTTCAATGAGTAATGTGTATTCTTATTGTAAAACTTTATTTATAACTCAGTTGAGTAAGTGGCAAATTATCTCTTCTCTCAAGAGTTCATCAAAATTTTGGATTGAATCATTCGTAAGAAAAAACGTAAAATTTAAAAAAAAGATTCGCATTGTTAACATGCTCCCACACACTTTTTGTTTTTACCTGAGTCCCAACCTCGAGATTTGGGTATGGGTGCCTTTCAATTCATTGCCATATAAATCAATGTAACGCAGTTAAAGACACCTCAGTGGGTACAGTTCGACATTGGCAAACACTTAATTACAAATCAGTAAGAACGACTTTTTGATGTCTGTTTATCCACCGTGAGAAAAGCGTTTGCTTGGAGGAGTCATGAAAAAGAAAAAAAGTTGTGAATTAAGTGACAAAGACAATGAAGCTCGAACGGGTAAGAAACTTAATAACCAACATGGTTATAATTGACGAATTCATAAAAAGAAAAATACCAAATATTAAGAAAAAAGCTTTTCTTCTATCTAAAGAACATTAATTGAAAGTGAAATTAACAACATTTACAGGCGTACTCAGAAACGTCAAGAAATTAATTTAATGCTTCGTTAAGTCAGATGTTCAAGGGTTTGTTTCATTATTTTCACATATTGTGGTTTGAATCCCTAATATCAGTAAGTGGAGATATATACACTCTATTCAATTGATATAGAAAAAAAGTAACAATGCCATCAACTTCAGTTAAATTCCTAAGCAACAAAATTAAAGAAATCATAAAACATGTTACCCGAGAAATTACTTATTACTGAGTAATTTCGGTGTTCCTTTTGATTTTCTTAAGTTACTATAAATGCATATACTTTCGACAAGTTATATCAACTTCATGATGATTATATCATTAAATACTGACTTGAAGAATATAAAACCACTTCACGAGCATAATCCTTTGAAATAAAAGAATAACTTTGAAAATGTGTTTTCCAATTCAAGTGAATATCGACAAACAGGCATAAAAATTCTCCTCCTTTTTGTGTAAAGTCGGTTAAAATAAAATCAAAGAGCATGTTTAGTCATTTGCTAAATACTCCTTCTAATATTATAGATGTGAAAGTTTGTATGTTTGTTACTCAATCACGCAAAATTGGCTGAACGGATTTGGATGAAATTTTACACACAGACAGCTTATACTTAGACAGCTTAGAAAGAGACATAGAATACCTTTTATCCCGAAAACATGTCAGGTTCCTTCGGAATTCACAAAAAATAAAGTAAACTTATAATTGTAAATTAAAGTACACAGTATGATTATAAGTTAAAGACTTCAAAAAATATTAAGTCTTCTAATGCTTAGGAGTCTTGTAATCGCTATCAGACATTAATCTCAGCACGCACGGACAGACGTACCCTTTTGTAAGCAATTTCACAGTTATCGATGGGCGTAAAATGAAGGCCACACAAGACAAATAAATCGATGGGGTGACGTTTTTGTGGAGATCGCGTAGATAGTGGCGTCAGGGTGGTCCGGACCTGACATGGCTCCTTCAGAAACGGATGTAAGGACATATTAAAACAATGAATCAATCAAAAATTTAAAGACCTTATAATTTGGAAATAAAAATAATAGTAGATTATGCATCAAGGGGATAAAGCAGTGTATTATGTCATGGGCAGCATGGGGAATTCTGAGCGAAATGAAGCATTCTGTAGTGACCTAATTCTTGAACGTAGACGGAATTAAGATGAAAAGCTAAGACACTATTATCCCCGATATGCATACTCTACTTTATACCTACAGTGAGAATAATTAAAAAAATATAATTCAATCAAAGGTAAGTTTATTAATTTAAAAACTAAATGTTACAAACATTTCTCCAGTTATGGAACCTTAATGTGATAAAGATTTCAATATTGTCCCATCTTAATTTTCAGATTAAGCCTATAACTGGCATGATTTTTTAAGCGAAAAAGTAAACTTGGCAGCGGTATATTTTTATCGTACTGTAAGGAAGGAGAATTATATTAAAAGACTGCTTGTTTTAGAGATTAGTGCCAAAACCACCATTGGTACCTTATTATAATGGAGACGGTTTAAAGGTGGTAGTCGGTTTCCGGCAG